TGAACAGAATGACAAAGAACGATTGGCCATCCTTGTTGTCGAGGTTCCTGAGCCGTCTTCGTAGATCAGCAAGCTCTGGTGCAGTAATGAGATTGTTGTTGAGGTTTTGGACCATAATACTGGCGAATTCGACATCCTCGTCCTTCGCAAGGCAATCGGCCATGGTTCGGTATATGCGCTCAGCACTCAATGTTATGCAGAGCTGTCTGATGATGAGGTTGCCACGAGTTTCGAGGAGTCGGCGGTCTGTACAGAACAGCTTCAGGAGATTAACCATGAATGAAGTGAAGTAGGTATCATCGCTGTGCAGTGAGATCTGTGAGAGAAGAAGCAAGTCGCGCGTAACGACCGCATCTGAAGGGTCTGAAAGCGTCTTTAGCAGTGCAGGGAATGTGCCGTCGTCCACTGTCAGTATCTTGAGGTTGTTAGCAATTGCTTCAATGCCATCATGTTCACACTCACTCTGCCAGGTGCCATTCTATGGAGCATTATCAGCCATGCTATGGCCGCAACGCGAGTGGCTTCGTGTTCATTCAAGAACTGCAGTGTCAAAGCGCTGACAGCCGCTTGGTAGTCCAGCTCTGGTATTGGACGCGGGGATGGGCCTCGCTCCTCTGCTGGTGTGGGCGATCGTGTACCCTTGCCATCTGGCGATTCAGCCTTGTTTGCTTGATCGCGGATGACTGCCTTGAGCAATCGGCCAGATAGATTAGAATCGCGCCGCTGCGTGCCGGTGAGCTCTTTACCTAGCTCAGATAGGGAAGGCGGTAGCTGAATCTGTCCACCTGCAGCGCCATCGCGGGGGCGGTTATCGTCAGATAATGACAGTATGTAGTCCATCAACGAGGCGTTGACCTTGACTGCAGCTTTGCGAACGGTATCGACGTCGTGCGACATTCGCGGCAGGACGTGCGACAGAAGACTAGGGACAAACGGCATGATGTCTTCTGGGCAAATGTCGAAAAAGTTGTCTATCCAACGGAGTGCCGTGAGCAGTATCTCGGTTTGCTCTTCTTCTGTGCCTACACAAATTAGCTCTGGTCCCTCTTCCCAATTTATCCCGAAACATACCTGATGGGGGCACAAGGAAATCGACTAGGATCTCAAGAATCTTGGGATGGTCAACGTGCACATCCTGGCCAGGTATCCAGTTTCCGTCGCCGTTGACAGACTTTCCGCTGTCGCCAGAGATGGAGCCGCTCTCTCCGCTTGCCTCGCCCTTGTCGTTGATCGAATCGTCCAGCTCGAGAGGGGTACTATCTGTCGCTTCGCTACCACTATGGATACTACCCGTAGAGTTCCTGCGATCGTCCTTGCTGTTGCTCCTCTTGCTTTCTGCTATGCCCTTCTTGATGCGCGCGATCTTCTTAATCTCACTTAAGAATCTGTCCAATGCCGCCTGCGTCATGGTGTATACATCTTGGTTGGTGTCGCTCAGGAATCTGAAGAGACCGCCGAGGAACCGCGGGAGGTGGGCGATGAGCTCGAGATCGGGTATGGAGTCGAGCAGCGTGATCCATGCCACCAGGAAGGAACGTGTGAACGGGTTAAGAACATAGATGCGTTCTTCGAGGAGGGGCAGGAAGCGTTCGAGGTTGAAAGCGAATGGGTGGGGCTCGTCTTCGGGGTCTTCTTGGTCGGGCGTGTCGTGTAGGACGGATACGTAGCTGGCAGCCGACTCGGAGACGATGTCCTTGATCAGGCGATCGAGCAGTTCTGCGCCGTTCTTGACTGAGAGCTCCGAATCTGCCGCCATCTGGACGGTCCGGGCCGTGTTAGCCTTGTCTCACGAGGTGCAGGAGGCATTGTGGGTCTTCTCACCTTGCACAGGGCATCGAAGACCTGGTTAAAGTAGACGAGTATCTCGCCCTTGGCGACCTTTGCGATGTTGTACATGCTCTCGCACGCATAGTACCTGACGCGGGCATCTTGGTCGCTGAAGCACGCGAGGACGGGGGGGACGATTTCTTCGAGATAGCGGGCGACTTCCTGGGGAGATGTCAGTAGGTACATCAAGCTGTGTATCAGATATGTCTACGCACCGGGCCCAGGGCTATCGAGGCGGCAGCCAGCCCTATCAGGCCGCCGTTGCGGGCGTGGGGCTGGTGGACGGCATAGGCGTACTCCTGGCACAGCTGGCGCACGATGCGGGCTATCCTGTCGTGGTCCTGGGCGGCGAGGGCGTCGCGGATGAGGCCTTCGAGCTCGAGCGCGCCGCTCTTGCGCTTGTCGTAGAGCTTGTCGTTGAGGGCTTTAGTGATATTGACGTCCATGGTGAGGTCGCGGGCTGGACAAGTCTACATGGTGCTGCCGCCGGCCTATCGCATCTTCAACTAACGGCGTGCGGGGTACTGGGAGCGTCGTGAAGCAGAGCGAGGAGGAACGTGCAGCCCTTCACGGTGTTTCCCACGATGCTCGAGCCGACGGGGTCACGACAGGGATCTGCGCTTTTAACGGAAGGCACACACGTCATCGTGCCTTCCTACACAACCGCCTATCCTTGTCGCTAGCACCCGCCGATAAACGAGACATTTCCAAAAGCAACCCCGAGCAGATGCCCAAGGCATGTCTCGCCGACTGCCCTCTGCCCATTCTCACGACCCTCAGCGTCATGGCGATTGGCAGCTCCCCTTGCCGCTAGGCGCTTAGTCTTCCCAAGTCACTCGCTCGCTCTGACCAACACCCTTTGCCGTCGTCGCCGCCTCACATCACCCTGGGTTCACCTGCCCCTGTCAGGTGCGACCAGCGTCGAGATGGAAAAGTTCAAGAATAAATTCCTGAACCCCCACCGTCGCTCGCGGCGAGAGGATGACATGGAGAAACTGAGGGAGCCCAAGGTCTCGCCCATCGCGACAGGCGGGTTCAAGCACTGGGCCGTGGCTTTGTAAGTCTTGTTTGTCTCCCGAGTGACGAGTACTTACATCAGCAGCATAGTCTGTAATTTCAATGTTGATATCGGGTAGGTCGTCCGGACTCCATGTATTTCGATTAATGTGTTGAGTTTGTAGCCCAGAAATCGAGATTCTATACCCCCCAGATGTGCCCTTTACGACGGCCGACCTGAGTGCTATATGCTTCAACAGGTACCTTAGTCCGCCAGTTCCGAGTGGTGCAATCTAAGTCGCATCTAGTTTCCCCGAACAACAGAACACAGAGACCGCGGAAGACCTCTGTTACGACTTCGCCATCACCAACAACTCGCCTGACATCAAACTGACTTCGCCAAATGCCCCTCATGGTAGCGCAGATACCTTCTACGGATCATGTATCTTCCGCCAAGAGTTCGACGATACCATGAAGAGGAGCTTCAATCAAAGAACACTGGTCATGATCTCCCACCACAACTTCACTTCCTTCCATCATCGCATCTTACAGAAGATGACAGAGTCCGGACCCCTCAGCGACCCGACGACTCTAGAAGCTGCATTCTCACAGATGAACACATGGGCGCCCCCAGCACTGGGACGCCACGACCTTCCCTTCATGGGCAGCATGTTAACCCTAGACATCGCACCACATCGCGCCTTCCCTCTCCAAGGACTCCCAGGGCCCACGCCATTAATCTCCGACATCCCCCTCTCCATCTACGCCTATGAACCCGTCGGCTCCTGGGACAACATCATGCACTACATGCCCTGCATCACAGACCTCTACGTCTTGTATGAGAAGCTCATCCTCTGCGAAAGCGTCATCGTCATCGCGAAGTCACCCCAATTGGCTAGCGAAGCCGTCTCCTCCCTCGTCGACCTCATCTGCCCCGTCCCCTATGCCGGCGTAGTGAAACCTTACATGACCATGCAAGCAAACTTCAAAAGCATCGGCATCGATGGCGGCACCCCAACCTCCTTCATCATCGGCGTCACCAATCCCTTCTTGCTAAAACGCATCGTCGCAGCCGCAGAAGCCAGTCACAAAGCGCGCCCACACATTTTGTATCTGCAAAATTTCGACGGCCCCGTCCCAACACGCCGTCACCACTCCCTCCACCACAAATCCAGCCGCAACGCCCTCCTCGACCTCCCCGGCGGCGGCATAGAAGTCCACACGCCCTCGAAACGCTTCCTCAAATCCGATCCTGCAGTCGTATCGCAAATCGAATCCCTCCTCAAGCTCGGCGACCAAACCCGCGAACTAGGCCCCATAATCCGGCGTCACTTTGCGGAGCTCACCGCCCAGTTCATCGCGCCCATCAACCGTTATCTCGCTACCTCCAACGTCGTTACGCCCGGTGGCGCAAACCGGTATGCCAGTTTCCATGTCCCGGATCTGATGAGCAGTGTGAGCAAGTATGGGACGAGTGTCAAGTTTCGCGGATCGAACCCGCTGCAGAGACATAGGGCAAGGGATGGGTTGTATGAGAGTTTTTGTAAGAGCGCGAGTTTTTATAGTTGGTTGGAGATGAAGATTAGTTTGGAGAATGAGGCCAGTGCGGGGATGCTTAATACGCCTGTTGCTTCTTCTGCTGGTGGTGGGTGAGATGGGAGTGGGTGGGGTGAAAGGAGTGATGGAATGTGACGTGGGAACGTGTGGGAGGTTCGAGGTGGAGATTGTAATTTGCAAGATACCATGAGATATAGCGACTAAAGAATTGCTGAATAATATGAACGCCTATTGAACAATTAATGAGCACATGAGATATCCGCCTGTCTTGAGCTTCGCACCCTACTTTGTTTCGTCGCTCTGATCCCGAAGAACATGGCACGGAAGGACCCGGTCAAAGCGTCGTTTCTGCTGGCCTTTTCAACCAGCGCACCAAGTTGGAGGATGTTCGCGAAAGGTATGTCATTGTAATATGTACAAGCAAGAAAGAAGTAGCGCACCAAATATTTACATGCTACCTCCTCCAAAAAGCTGAGAAGCAGCGATGACAAGATATGGATAAGAAAGAAAGCATAAACCCAAAGTGTTGTCAAAGGAGTGTAAGAATCGAACAAAAAAAGCAGAAAGCGCTGAGCCACTACCAGCAAAACGTCGCGAGTGTCAACGCATCAATCCTCAGCCTAGTCCATCCTAAACGACGATGTCCCCTCAACAAGAGGAGGCCAACGCTTCTTAAGCCCAGAATCATCCTGAGGCCAAACATCCGTCGTACCAGCCTTATAAGCAGCCCAATTAGCGCAATTCTGCTTCCACTCAGAGCCAGCAGCCGGAAGATTGATTTCGGATTTGCGCTCCAGGAACTGGATGCCGAGGCCCATGCCGACGTGGAAGGCGATGTGGCAGTGCATGAGCCACTGGGGAGAAGGAGTTAGTATTTCGTTATTTCAGAAACGATGTTGAGGGATGGTTGGGATGATAGAGATAAGAGTGTCTACTTACAGCACCAGGGTTATCAGTCGGGTATGCGAGAACGAGCCACCCGCTACCCCTGAGCTGAACAACGTCGCGACGGGGTGGGTTGGTGAAGCGAAGCGAGCTGAAATGCGTTGCCATGCTGAATTGACCGTCACCTCCGCCGAGGACATAGCTGTCGTGGCCGTGGAGATGGATGGGGTGGGCGATGGGCGGTGCGCCTACAGCTTGTTGTATGACCCAGTAGGTCCAAGTGGATGCTGAGGTCGATGGTACCTGCACAACGTTGTAAGACTGCGGGATGCTGTTGTTGTTCTCTGCGACGTATTGAACGGTCGGCTTTCCGGGGTCGATGATGATGGACGTGCCGTTGATGGTCCAGAGGACGGTGTTGCCGTTTGCTGCTACTGGGCCGAACGCGACGGGGAGGTTCTTGGCTTGGGCGGCGAATGTGGTGCTGGGCACGTTCTTTGCGACTTTTGGGGTGGTGATCGGATCAGCGCAGATCGTGAAGGGGTTGGCTGGGGCAGTTGTGGTGGGATCGGCCACTGTCTGGCCTTGGTACGTGAAGATGGCGCGTCCTGGAAGAATGGAGCGTGACTGGCAAAGGCCGTTCGCGTCAGCACGGAACCAGTAGTTTCCAGCTGTCTGGTTGGCAGTGATGATGACGTCGTAGCGTTGGCCGATACCAAGTTGGAGGTGGGTGGTGTTGTATGGGACGACGGGGACGAAGTCGTTTGCAATGACTTGGAAGGGATGGCCGTCGAGGTTCACAGTCATGCTGGTGTCGACTGCGGTGTTCACAAGGCGCAGACGATAGCGCTTGCCCGCTTGCATCGTGACTCGGTTATAAGCACCACCTCCGGCTGCGTTCTTAGAAGTGCCGTTGATCAGGATGTTGTCGGGCACAGGGGGACCCAATCCAGCTTGCCCATTCTGGAATGCTATGGAGGCTGCTTGGAAGGCGGTCTTGTAAAACCAGTCTGTGATTGGCATAACTCCAAGGTCCTCGTCATAGTTTGCGGTAGCAGGACCGTTGACAATGAATGTTCCGACAACTCCATCTCCGTACTGATGCGAGAAATGCGAGTGGTACCATGTCGTGCCGTATTCGGTTGCCTGGAACTCGTACGTCTTGAGGTCGCCTGGTGCTACCGCACATTCGGTGACCCCGTTGACACCATCCTGGATGTTCTTGTTGAGCATGCGGAAGCCGTGCCAGTGGATGGAAGTGCCATTGGATTGAAGCATGTTGCGAACAGTGATTCTGATGGTGTCACCCCAGTTGGCAACGATGGTGGGACCCGGAGTTCTTCCATTGATCAACATGCAAACCCTTGACCCAGCACCGTCAGGGTTGCAAGTTGTATTCTCGATGCGTAGATTGTAGGAGCGAACCACACCGGTATTAGGCCATGAGGTGTACATGTCCGTAGAAGAGTTGAATCCACTGGTCCAGCAATTCCTCGTAGTGGGACCATTGACACACGCCGATGACTGACGTTCCTCGAGGCCATCTCGTTTTGGCGTAAAAGGCGCGAGCTCAGTGGTCTCAGACGGAATCGCTATCGCGGTAGTTACTGGAACGAGAAGGCCCAAGAGAGCCGTCCCGAGGATGGCAAAAGACTTCATCTCAGCTTAATACGATGGAAGTAACGAGTGTTGAGTGATAAAGATTGACAGAAAAGAAGACAACAGTGCGAAGCGAGAACGCTGCCGAAGATGCTGCTGTAGAGCAATGGAGCAGAGCGTTTGAGCTCTTATATCTGATTCCATGATAGATGGCCATCATGCTCCAGCACAGATGATCAATAGCCCTTCTGCTCATTCGACTGCTCCAGCAAACGCCACAGCGGAATACGGACCCACCCTTTCGCCATGTCCACGAATGAGAATATTGATAGTATGATTTTGAGCTGCGAAGAACGGAGATTTGACATTCGGATGTCGTATTGTTTGGAACGCCTCGCTCGAATGTGAATGTGGGCAAACGGTGATGGAGATGGATGACCTCGTAGTCATACACGAACACAGTCAGCATGGGTATTGATCGCTCACTCCTGACTAGGGCACACCGTATCTGCATCAGGCGGCGGGAAGGATGCGGCAACCCAGTGCTCGAACTGTCAACTGGACAGCAGAGGATTTCGAGGAGTTACGCTTAGATCACACGTCGTGGCTTGCGGAAAGTCCGCAGCCAATCCGCTGCTCTTGTCCGTACTTTATAGCTTACTCAGCCGTGAGCCACCATCGCATTGTAGTAGGAGCTTTGCAAAGAGCTGAAGTGGCGCGGAAATGACGAGTTGTGAACGCTCATGCTAGGAAGCATGTTGTTTAAATCGTACATACGACTAGAGATACCAGAAGGTAGTGTTGCGGTGACAGGTAGCAGCTTCTGACGCCACGAACATTCCAATGGGCGTAGCATCAAGTCTGTGAGTTATGGTAGATTGATCGGTAGCAAGAATGACTGCGTTCGCGAGCAGAGCAAAGCGGCCGACCCTCGGGGGTGCCACCGGAACGTAAGGGGAAGACTGCATCATCACGAGGAAATACCAGTGGTCTGTATACTATCATCTGATACTATTGAGGTGGGTTTCGGTGTATCAGCGTGCCTATGTCCGATGTCTTTCTCGCTCGCATGGCTTAATCGGAGATAGACCGTGAGTAGGCGCGCCACAGCTGATGCATCTGAAGACTTGAGAATAAGCCTCCTCTTCCATGAACATAGCAAGGGCCTGGAGTGGTGTGTTCGGAAATTTTGTCGCGTGATGCAAGGTCTGGATGCCGCCAGAAAGCGAAGTCCGGCAGCGGGCAATCTAACGGACATTCTGCGCGTTCCGATCAGCCCGCTGTCTCTTGACGAAGTAATAACCGAAACATTTACACCTTCTCTTGTTTTCGTAAAGCATACTAGCCGTAATGTAGTTGTACTGGGGAATTCGGGTCCGACGTTATTAATGTTGCACACGGAGCGAACCAGAAAGGGCTTCAAAGCTAAGTGCCACGTGCGCAGTCATGCACGTTCTCACACTGGTTTTGATGTTTTCTTGCGAATGTCTACGGAGGTTGGGCTTGCGAGCGATTGTCGAACTGAGTCGTGGTGAATAAGTCGGTGAGCCTAGCGGACTCCGGCATCACCGGTAGTCTTGCGTCGATAATGTGGCAAGCTTAGGGGTCATGAAACCTCTGTAGGTTCGAGGGTGTATCTGTGTCCCTGCTTCGCTACAGACTGTGGGATCCATGGCCGTCGTCTGGCGTGAACTCTGGTCCCGGCAACTCGTAACCATCGAACGAAAAGCCAGGTGCGACCGTCGTGCCTACCAGCGTCCAGTTGCCTAAACTGGTCGCCCGCTGCCACTGGTTTTCTGCGATGATGACTTGCGGAGCCTGGTCCCTGAAGATGTCGCTACCTAGAATCTGCTTTTGAGTCGCAGTGCCGTTGTTCCACGATAGCTCAAGCTTCAGAGGGGCGCCAGCGTAAAAGTGCCATATCTCGACAGCATCGGTAACGCGATGCCAGTAAGATGGACCAGATTGGCCTTCGAGCAGGTAGTAGATGGCGGTTGAGTATGAGCGGTTGCCGATGGTACCGGTATCTTGAAAGGTTTGTCGAAAGTAGCCCTTCTCTAGGTTTGGCTCGAGGTGGAGCTTGGCGATGACGTCTTTCGCGTCGGTACATTCGCGATAAGCGGCAGTCAACCCTAGCAGCGATGCGGCCAAGTAGATTGCGAGTTTGTGCATATCTGTAGCTTTCTTGCAGTTGTGTCGCACAATTGGAGTATGGCCTGCAAAGTGTCCTTTGTCGAAGGAACCGGCGAATGCTGATGCTTATTACTGATGCCTTCGGAGCTTCCGAGCTGGCGGATACGATCGTCACAGATCTCGTCACGTCATCTGAACTCGACCACCACATTAGCTCCACGGCATCACAGTACCACAGCAAGAGCGCAATGCAGAGAACGAGGAAAGGACATCCCAGGTTCCCTTAATTGCGCGTCCAGGACGACACCGAAATGCCCAAACGCGACAAACCCTTACACGCGCCCTTATCGCACGCCGTATGTTGTACACCACGATCGCGGCATTTCATTCGATCTGATCTGCGCACTACTGTACAATGAAGAATTGGAAGCCGCCGTTAATCGCCGAAGTCGTTCACTGTGGAGATCCGATGGCGGGGCGTCGCACTGCAGTACTCAAGTAGACTAAAAGGTTAAGTATTTCCTCCTTGTACACCGTGGATCCCGCCACATTCGCAACCCTACGTCTCTTGCTAGCCTTTGTGTATTCTCCGGCTCTTTTTCTGTATTCCATCGCCTTGAGTCTGCGACGGCATGTTTCCACGATTTGCGCTGCCCTGTTGGCTGGCAGTCCTGTCGTTTGCGATCTCAGTCGCGTCGAGTGTAACACCAGAGACGAAGAACTTGTTTGTGGATGCTGATCTTTTTGAAGCTATTGAGTAAGTGTCCTGTACCACGTAAAATCTGAACGCATAGCTGACAGTGCTACAGTGATACCGCAGCCCTACTCCTCGCGTGCACTTTACCGAATACAAACCTCCTCGCGGTAAACATCAACGTCAATTCGACGTACTCTGCCTTCGCTGCGTCGGCAATCGTGAACCACTACGGCTACTCTTCCGTCCCGATTGGGCTGCCGAGACCCTACACGAACATCACATCGCCTGAACCATTCGGAGGAGAATATGCAAGCAAGGTCGCTGCTGGATGGTCCGGCGGCTCGGTGCCTAATGGGCAAGTTAACAAGACTTGGGATCCGGTAGAGCTCTATCGCAAGACGCTGGCAGAAGCGAAGAACAATAGTGTGACTGTCGTGTCGATTGGTTTCATGGGATCGTTGTCTGGTCTCCTCAATACGACCAGTGATGAATACTCCGTGTTGAATGGATATGAGCTTGTCAAGACAAAGGTCAAGGAACTGGTCGTTATGGGTGGGGGTTACTCGCAAGAGCCAGCCATCGATGCGGAGTACAATTTCGCGATTCAGAACGCACCACACGTCATCAACACATGGCCCGATTGTGTTCCGATGACCTTCCTTGGCGCAGAGGTGGGCGTCGAAGTCTTGTCGGGCGCACGGTTTACTGTGTGCGGACCCCCGAACGACCCAGTTAAATCGGCTTGGGAGTACTGGGGATCTTACAATCACTCCGAATACTCATGGGACTTTTTGACCATGGTGTATGCAGGCAGGGGCCTGGGCAGTTGGTTTGAATATGGAAACGAAAATGGGTACAACTTTCTGTTCCCGAATGGCACTAATGTCTGGGTGGAGGACGAACGCAGGACCAGCCAGCACTATTTGAAGCTCAAGGCCTCGAACGAGACGGTTTCCAAGGAAATGGATAATCTGTTGCTGCGCGGCGCGTGGACCCACGCCCAAGTGGACTGAAGCCTCATACTATCGAAAGAAGTGTTCTACTAAGCTCAAGCTCTGCAGGCTTTTCAGCGGTTCGCACGGCTCGTCCACGTCCATCCAAGACCACCTCTTGTTCACTTTCCAGGCTTTCAGGTTTCAAGTGTAACAACCGCATTTTCCTACGAGCCAGCAATGAATAGTATCCTTTCCATCACCCACCGAAACTTTTTCCACGCTGCTTTCTCATGCTCACTATTTCTGAACATGCAAAGCGCTGACAGCCTTGAGTCGAGGCCGGAACTGGGTGCCGATAGTCGATAAGACGGGATGCCATTTCTGGTAAAGATGGTCTGCGCCAAGTGCGGATTCCGCTTGACGCCAAGCTCGTCATGTGGCGTCGTAATCGTTCACCACAACGTTGTTTCCCCAAAGTTTACCGACGAATTCCCAATTGGTCGGAATGCTCAACAGTGTTCAGGCGAGCTACGACGAGACTTCACGTGCTCTCTTGGCTACCCAGAACGCCCTGCCGCGCACCACTGCCAAGTATAGATTTAGCTTCCGCCGAGAAACCAACAAGCGCGTGTGCCCACAATGACATCGTCCCAGACATGTCTTCTTGGATAATCTTGGGTAAACATACAACTCCATGTCTGGGCGCGGCCGCCCCGTGTCTGATCTCGATGTATAGTTACATACGCCAACCAGTGCAACGGAGAAGGATGGTGTGGAGAAAACATGGGGATTGTCACCCTGGTGCAGGATTTGACCCGCTCTTTGATGGAGAAAATGTGGGTGTGAACTGTGCCCCGGATACCCTATATAACAGGACCTGTCATGGTTCCCAGGCATCTGGTCGTGTGTCTTTC